TTCAGCTTCTCTGGTCTGCGTTGCAGTGTCCCTAAGTCTAAGTTTCTGGAACATGTGCCCAGCATTTGCAAGATGCTTGCCAGGAATCAAGCCCTACACACTGCACAAGCAACACTGCTCTTCCACATCGGATGCCACAATCCAAACGGCTGCTACACATGGCATGGAATAGGAAGGGAGCCCAGTGTGACTGCAAGCAGCATCTGTCTTCCACACCCCAGATACAACAAATTCTAGTTGGTTCAGGCCATCCCAAGACAGTTTACTTTCTGAAGCAAAAGGTATTATCATGCCTCCGCTCCTATTCCAGGTACTGTGCAAAAGCTGACTGCTGATAGTTAAATCTTACTTGAGACTGGTATTGGGCCAGTATTATTTACCACACACAAAATTAGCGAGCTAGTTTAGCGAATGCAGGACATGTCACCTGGCATGCACACATCTCAGCATCTGGTACCTGATGTACCTGCCTCATTCTGCCTAATGATAGGGCTGGCCTAATCCAAGATTATGATATTCTTACCCAAAACATAAAGTTATGTTGCTGACCTGAAATTGTTTTTAAATACAGGGTCCTATGATCACTGGACTGCTACTAGAAAGTCATAGGATTTTTTGAATATTATATTCAACTTTGGAAACTCACTCCATGGTCTCAGCTGGACAATAAGCTTCAAGCATCTCTTCCCCACAAAGCAGGCAAGGAAATAACTTCCCTGGCTGTTTCTCCAAGGTTGCAAATGCCAACCCTGGAGAAGCAGATTTATGGTTGTTCCAGTGGGTAGGGAGGACAGCAGTCTGGTGCCACCAAAATGCAAAGCATCCTGGTGGTGCCTCAGCCTCCTTCCCTCCTCCCTTGAAGCAGCAGACTTGGACAGCCAAAATCAGCCATCTCGGTGCTCTTTGGGGCAGGAGCATGGAAGACACCTTCATCTCTGTGTTCTTTCCATCCTGCATAGGATACCCATAATCCTCCAAGTTTGGAGCACTATCTGCATCCAGTTTGCATTATATCCTCAGTGTACCAGTTGCTACTCATACATAATATTTTACTGAATGCTCAGAAATTATGCTCAGAAATAACCCGGACCTATCAGGCCAATAATGTTTTTGTTTTTAACTCAGAATGTCACTTATACTGCTACATATTTCAAGTTAAGGATGCAAATTATTTCTTCCATTCTTTGCAGTGGGCTCTTGCCTACGAAAGCATATACCAAAATCAATGTATTAGTCTTCCTGGTTCCACAAAACACTGCTATTTTAACACACTCACTGCCATTACAAGCCTCATGAGCCCAGCTGCTGAACTGAGAATTATGGATAGAAAATCCACAGCGATATTAGCAGCATTTCCCGTGCTTATCTTGTACAGGGCTAGTTTTGTGAAGGTTGGATATTCCTTTTTAATATATTCATTACTGTCGACTTTGCTAAAATCCTTTTCTCTTTTTTTTTTCTTCTTCTTTTGGTGATATTGTGTCCCAAAGAATTATGGTGTGTTCCCCAAAGTCTGACAGAATCAAGATACTCTAATGTAGTATGACTGCTCACTCAAAAGCTTTCCTCATCTGAACCCTCCAGAACAGAGCTGTCAGACACTTTTGATTTGAATGCTTTAATAAGCCAATTAAGCACATAAAAAGTGCTTCATGCATCTGCTGTGATGAGTCACATTTCCAGGTGTAAATTCTAGATAGGTTTAGGGATACAAACCAGAGTGGAGGCTTTCTTTGAATATGAATAGATAGTGCATCATTAAATTCTTTGGTACTCTGATTTCTGGGTCAAGTTGTCCATCACAGGCTTCTCAGGAGAAATTCACATATTCAGTAACCACCTCTAGCCATTCTGGGTGTCCTGATACTTAAGTGTTGCATATGAATGGTTCAAGTTGATGGGCTTCACAGCTGGTAAAACTTCCCTCTGGTCTAACTTTCACCTTTTTCTTATCCAAACCAAACATCGGAGTTACATCTGGTTGGTTCCCTCCAAGATGGTACTTGATAGGCACATTATTTCCAAGCACTGTCATTACACAGTAACCGCTCTGTAAGTCATGCATGCAATACAGAGGCACTGCATCATCTCTGAAGTGCTTCCTTTCATGCCACCACTGCAGGTGACTGGACCTGGTGAGGGAGAAGGAGCCATGTTTGGGGAGAAAAACGAATCCAGTATTTGTCTCCTTTAAATTACAAAGTGTAACTACCTTTAGTCATCCACACTTTTGTGCATATCTTGATTTCTGCTGCCTATTCATCTAAGTAGATATTATTATATAACAACAATATATACACATCCACGTTTTCTTCATTTTGCGGGGAACCCAAGGCAGGTTTTTATTTTAGTTACCCAGGAATGGAACGAAGGCAGAACTGCAAATCCCATACTACAATCGTTAGCTGAAACTTTATGCAGAGTTTGCTGATGCCTCAGGATAACCTTGCAAGTTGTTAACCTTTTCTTAAGAGTGTGATCTGGAGTGTAAAACAGACATTGAAAAAGACGCTAGAACATATAAGATTACTTTTCAGTATTTGGGCAGGCCAAATGATTTTCTGTAACTTTATGTTCTATTAATTATGTTACAAGCTGACAGCATAAGGCCTTGGATGCTGTTTCTAGTCCCCATCATCCCAACATGCATCCATTATTTGTAATAATTCATTTTAACATAATCAGAAAACTCCTTTCTCTGATTCCAAAGTCTGTCAGAATACAATTACAAGAAAGCTTGGTAGACTTCAATTTTAAAGAAAATACAATCAAGCTGTTTCAGCAAAATCAGGAGTCATTTTCCAGCCCACTTCTGGGCTCTAACAGATTCCAGACATGCTGTTATGCACAGTCTCAGTGCTATGAAACATGGTCCTTTTAGGTGAAGAGGCAGAGATTAATGAGCCACGTAGAAACCCTTATACATATCAGTTAAAAGAAATTAATTATACTAATTATCTAAGCAAATCTCAAGTCTAGAAATGTTCACTCAGTGTTACAAGCCCAATGATTTTTGAAAGAACTAATTAATACAGTGAAACAAAGCTCCAAAAATATGCATTGAATTTAATTTATAATTTGTGAACAATGTCTTATACTATACATATGGCTCCATTAACATCCATGCAAGAAAGGTATGCGCTTGTAGAGAGGATTTTAGAAGATAGTCATTGACTTAGATTTTAATAACAGTGGTATAATAGATTCTTAACATATTTTATTGGAATGGCTGCCCAGAAAGCATAATGCTAAGGGGCGGCTTTTATACAAATCAAATCAATAGATAAGAGTGCTGCCTACACTAGGCCAAAGAAGTGATAATTCTCATGTGTGATAGTAAGTTGACCATTTTGTTTTTTTATTGCTAATGTAATATCTATAGTATTCAGGGCAGTACACAATAATCTAATAAGAACTGTAAAATGACAAATACTGTGCTTGTATTTTATGTTGGGCAGATAAGAAATAAAGAAACCACATTCAGAAGTCTATATAGTGTAATATTATTAATGAAACTAATACAGCAATATAGGTTTGCATTGATGATGAAAAATAAAATCACCAATGCTTAGATAAGAAGTCTACAGTATGACTTTTCATGATGGAAAAAAGTGTTAAGTACTGACATCTCCCTAATTTCAATCTTTGTCAAACTTGTCTCTGATCTTCAATTTATTGGTGCAAGTTTGTTTTTTGTTTGAGACCAGAACCTTCAGTGTATCTCACTAAGTAAAAAAGAAATAAAAGAGGCAGACTTGAATTAATTAGTTTCAGCTATTCAATCATTCCCAGAAATCTCACTATTGCTTAATAGGTGAGATTTCCAGAGTTTGGAGATGGTAAAACATTCTACCAGGGAAGGAGAGAACAAGTGTATTTGTATGTGTGAAGAAACAAGTGGTGATCCAGAGCTGCCCCTCTGCCTTTGCAGTCCCATTCACAAAGCCCATGAAGCGGGGCCATTTCAGCCTTTTGGTCAGGGGAAAGAGAAAACTGCAGCACTGCAGGGGACTTACTCTACAAGCTTACTATTTCCCCCTTTTAACATGGTTTTTGTCACTGTGAAAAGTGGCCCAGAGCCCCAATTCCCCTTCCCAGTGCCTTTGATGGAAGGACACTATATAAAACCATTCCAAAGGATCTGCTGCCTTGTAGGACTGTGCATTTTGGCTGCCTCTACATATGCATCATTTCTATTTTTGCGAAAGCACCCAAGTTTCCAGTGACTCTTTCCTCCAATGGGGCAAAAAACTTCAGTAGCACTGAAGTTACTGTGCTACATTTTATCAACTCCCAGACAAGTTGTGACAAATAATAACTGTATTGTCCATTATGGAACGACAGTCAGCTCCATCCTCACTTTTTTAACACCATACATTCTTATCCAAGCAGACCTCACTTATTGTCCCATAAGTTCTTTATCAGTTGGCATTTAAACTGTCACTTGAAAACACAGACTTTAGTTCTCTTATTGGCATTTCCACTACTGCTTTCCATTGTATAGACTCAGAAATCAATGAGTCTGGGTTATCATTTTGTGTTCTTTCTTGCTTTCTTTCTGTGACTTCAAAGCTGCCAGAATTTTGCTCTATAACTGTTTGTCCCCAGGAAGCCCTGTGCACAGCCCTATTTCAGCCTTTAGAACAAATTGCAAAAAATAGTGGTGAACTCTATTCCCATTTACTTTGTGGGTGGCATGGCATTTTAGGTATGTGGGGGCACAGAGGAATAAAAGTAAATAGGGGCTGTGCTTGCTGACAGCTGTCTAATTGCTCTTTGCTATTTCTAAGACAAATGCTTTGTTTTTGCAGTTGAACTAATGCAGTTGAACTCAAGGACATGTGGGTTTCAAATATTCAATTTATCCAAAGTGAAAATATTAGTGTTGTTATAGCACAAAATGTAAGCAACAATTTCTCTTTAAAAACAAGAATATAAACAATACATACATACATACATACATACATATATATATATATATATATATATATATATATATCTGCAATTCAACTCTAAACTAGGAGATTTGTTGAGCTATGTAAGGCAGAATATACAAACAATCTAAGATATCTTCATGGCATGGCTATCCTGAGAGCTACAGTTGGCCAGAGTCTTCTTTAGCAGTCTGGGAAGCTGCAAAGAACTTGTCTATATTTTGAACAGAAACCATCATATTTGTCAGCTCACTACCAATAGTACGCAGCTCCTGGGCCACACTGCAGAAATCCCCTCTTAGTCCACAAACAGCATTTTTTATCTCTTCCAAAAGGGCCATGCTTTTCTGTTCAGTGCTCATACAAAGAAGATCTGCACTGGGAAGATTTGTTGTAGGAGGTACACCAGGATTAGGCACAGAGGATATATCACACACTAAATTGTTTCCCCAACTCTCACCAGAAGCACGGCAAGTTCTGCTCCTAAAACTATTAATTTTTCCCACAGAACATTTTGAATTATCAGGGAGAAGGCTTAAGATGCTAGCATTGTCATCTATATCAGATGCTGGGCAAGGAGAAAAGGAATGTGCAATCTTTTCCTTAAGATCTTTAAAGAAAAGAGAAGATAGTCCATGTGGCGAAGACAAATAAGCAGTTCCGTGGGGAGGAATACAATGAGGCTGTGGTGTGTTGTTTGGAACAGCTGACTCGGGGGATGACATGGAGAATGTAGAAAAGGAGGATGTTGTTCCAACTGAGCCGGCAGAGTCTAAAATGTATATAAAAGAAAAATTCACAATGATATTTGCCAAAAGTATATATTCATTTGTAATCTCTATCACCTGCACTGGATTACTTTTCCAGATGGGACATAACTATTTACATTATGGGATATGCAAGTGCAAGAAACAGGTGTTGGGAACTTTTCTTGAAAGAGCAAAATGAAGTGATCAGGCCTTGCATCCCTCAATTCCTTCCAATTTCCATAATGGTAATGAGTCAGTTCTGCTCACCTGGAGCAGAACTGACTGGGGAATGCTGGGAGTTGCAGGATTCTTTTCTGTCTCAACATGCCCAAGATTGGGCCAGTAACTAATTATCTAGTTAAACCCACCTTGATCCTGTATATGAATTGTGTGTGAGAGAACTGGCAATTTCCAATGCACTAAATGCAGTTAAAATGTACCACCATGTTGCTGTATTTTCAATAGTCTGTTTTGTTTTTTTAACCAAAAGAGACTTTCTATGATCAGTGTGCTACTCCATTAAGTTTCTGACTGCTATGATCTGATATGTACTATGACGTTTTAAAAAGGTGTAATTTAACCTATTCATTATAATAATATTTACCTAGTCTCCATTTCAGTACAACAGTTGTGCAAACATTTTTTTTTATAAAAGTAACTATTAGAAATAATAGACAGCCACCAACAAACAGTATTTTAAAGTTAAAATGAAATGAAAATCAACTTTCTGGGCATTATCACAAAAGTAGTAGGGTTTTCTATAAATTACAAAGCAAAAATGCAAGTGCAGAAGCAAAAATATATCCCAGTTTCTGAGACACACAGAATCCATAAGCTCACCTGGCCTTGGGATGGGATGACTGCTCAAACCAGCTGTCTGTAAAGTACCTGGTATTAAGAAGTTGAGGCTTCGCAGGTTAGTTGGACTGGGCTCATAGAATTGCTTAGAAGTTGGTGTTGGATTCATGGTGTTTGTGACACTGCTACTCAACGGATCAAAGGATTGAAATGTAGGAGACTTGTAGATGGTTTCCACAGAGACTCCACTGCGACAGCAAGTGAAGGCTGGTTTTGGAACCTGTTGCTTGTTGATAGTGGTGACCTCTTCTGGACCAGAGGACCAAAGATCAAGCCATGGCGCTGCAACTTTCTGGGCATGTACACTTGATTGCCTTCTCAGAGGTGATTTCAGCATAACTCTGGAAACAACAGAACTCTTTGATTTCCTGCCTGAATCCCACTTTTGCAAAGGTAGCGGAGTTTTGTCTGAAGGACTCAGAGCACCTGCAAGGCAACAAAAGTTCAGTTATTTTATCTTCATTTTTGTATGTAATCATGACTAGAGATTTAATTAGTCCGATGTTCAAAAGGGCACCTACTAGTGAAGAATGCCTCAGTTTTGCCTTCTGTTGTGATCCATATTAGTTTGTCACTCTTTCCACCACTTATCCCTATTAATCCTTTCAGAAGGAATAGTGGTGTCATTGCTACATATGCCATAGGCAAAATTCTGCAGAGGCAGGAGAGAGCTGGCAGAAATGTGGATATTTTAGAATTAAATTATAAATCTTTTCATGATAAATGGGGTAAGATCATTATCTGTATATGGAAGGGGCCAATTTTATGTCAGACCCCAAAAAGTTATGCCTGGCTTGGGAGAACATCAAGTCAGCAGTCTGCTACACGTGCTGGAGAACACTTTCCTCAGCTTCACACAAATTGAAGACAGGTGGATTTCAAGCATGAGAAAACAACTAAGAATGCCACTAAGAGGCACACAGTTTTAAAAGAACAAATCTCTTTCTGGAACATTTCCCTGATTATTTTTAAAAAAGGCTAAAGATACATATGCTTTATGATATATACTGAAGGGAACAGATAATGGAATAAACCAACTATGGTAATAAAATATGTTCTGCAGCTGTTTTCAAATGTCATTTACCATAATTCTTTACCAGGAGATGCTTAAACTTGACCAAAATAAACCATGTTATTTCAAGTCTGGCTTCATGTGACTAGTTAAACCAATCTGTGTAACACACTTAAATATCTGTAATTATGAGCTTAATAATATTGTATTCAAATTTGTCTTGCTCAAGCCAAACACTGAGAGACTGAATGTAATACAGCTTTTAATGGCTATCTGTCCTATTTAAATGCTAATCACCTAGAAGAGATTTTTTCAAAAAATCACCATACCAATTTTATTCAATAGCTTTTGTACAATACAAATTTCAGAGGGAGAAAAGAATCTGGAGAAGAGATAAGGAGCAAGCCTGTGTGCGGGCTCAGCAGGGAAAGAAAGAGCTGGAGGAGTCTGACATTAAAGAGCTGTAAACCCAATTTTTCATTGGAGCATCATGTTCACAAACCTGCTTGCTTTGGGAGGCAAACAAGGTAACCAGTAAAGGACTGGTTTTAGGGATTTCTTGCCACCTCCAGCTTTGTAACCTGGGATGAGGAAAACATCAAATACCAAGCTGTGCTCCTCATTTCAGTTAAAACCTCCCATCCAAAGTAGCTGGTGGACTTCCATCTTGACATGGCAAACGAAAGCACATCTGAGTGCTCCCCTTTTTCCATTTCTGATGGGCATGCAGAGAAGTCCACTTCTATCTTCATCAGTTCTCCTGTCTTCCCTAAAGAGGCTGGTTAAAATTAATACACAATCTTTTGAATATTTGAAAATGTTGGGAATTATAGAGACTGTGCATCTCTCCCACTTCAGTTATAAGTGACATACATGTTCTGCAGCTATTTGTAGCTTTTCAGAAGAAGGAAATTCAGGTACTGTATTATTTCCTAATCTGGTGATAAAATCCTATGAAAATCTCAGGGATTTTTGTAATTCTACTGTATCATACCACAGTGCCACCTAGTGGTTCTATAATGGAATCTACAGAAAGGCAGAGAAAGAAAATTCTTGGGAAAAGAGCACATGTAAAGGACAATCACTTAATCCCACAAAGAAAATGGAAGCAGAAGCCTCAATAAAAGGCATTAAAAGCCTCAGTTAGAGAAGCCCATTGCCTCATTGGGTGTGTGTGACCTGACATTCCATTCTTTTCTCATGAACGGCACCTTTACAAATCAAGCTTTGATTGTGAGCTAAATTTGACATGAGTTAATCATTTTGGAATAATAGCTTTTGAAACAGTAAACCTGGAGAACCTTTAGCCAAGAAGTGCACAAGAAAACACAAACAGCATGTGTCACATAGTTCAAAATACCTGGGTACTACCTTTGTATACTGGCTATGTTTGTCAAAAGGAAGGGAGATTATATTGATTGTGCCAAAACCATAAAGAGGACAGAGTATGGAGATCTTCCAGTAAGGCATCCAATGTCTCAGGGCCCCAAATGCCATGCCACACAAAAAGCTACCCCTGTCCTGTGCAGACTACTCATGAATCACAGGACAATAGTCAAGCTGCAATTGTGCAGGAAAGCAGGATAGCTTAGGCTGCACAGAGGATTTCAGCAACACCCACAGGCACAAATCATGACAACATGGGGCTGCAATGGCTGCTAGAAGTCACTGCTCATCTTGGCTACACACCTCACGCTTGATTTTGTGCCAATTGTTTCTGGACTGCTTTAACTGTATGGCCATGCCATAAAAAAGCATTACAAGTCTAATTGTACTCATATAAGAATGACAGAACTCACAGAAGTTATCAGATGCAGTGGCTTATATCTGACATGGAGCAGAACTTAATTTCCTTAATTTTTTAAAAACTAGCAGATGGATTGTGTTTTGTACTCACTGCAGTATGCATTTAGACTGCTCTGAATTCCTCTGTTCTGTCATCTTTGTCGGTCTACTTAACCTTTCAAAGACATCCCTGCTGACAAAATCAAGTCCCTAAAGAGCAAACACAGTTTAACCTTCTTTGAATATAACAAATGCCAAAGCCCATAAACTGCACATACTCTCTGATTTGTACAACCATGTGCTTTGCAAAGGAAGTCACATAAGAATAAAGAGCCAGCAAAGTATTCAAGATGAAATTTCTGGGAATGCATGAAAATACAGGTATACCAGTAGCACCAAGAGAACCTTTCTTCCCAAATAGATGCATTGATAGTTCACAGATTTGGATGTAACCCATGTTCAATTCATTATAATTATGGATTATGCTGAAATTTAATGGCAGGCAGTGTATTATTCACAGTCACTCCACACTTAGGCAGACATACACACATACACACTCCTGAATTAGCTTTAGTGAAATGGAAGATTTCATTACAAAATGAGAGCCAGGGAGATGTGGTAGTTAGAGTGTTGGGCTAGAGTATGTATCTCCCAGGTCCCCAGTCCCAGGCAATTAAGCTCATTGGGGTGACTTTGGACCAGTCATTCACTCTCAGCCTAACCTACCTCACAAGGCTGCTGTGAGGATAAAATGGAAAAGAAGAAGATTATGTATGCTGCCTAGGCAGGATAGAAATGCAATGTAACGTAGCAATAAAAAAGTAAAAGAACAAGAATAATGAGATAAAATCACTACTAAAACTTTCCTCCCTCCCACGTGGAGTAGAATCCTATAGAGGTTTACTCCAAAGTTAATTCCCTTTGCACTCAGTGAGGCTTATTTGTTACTAAGTAAGTTTAAGATTGCAAAAGAAGGCAATTAAGAGTAGCTAATCAAGGTGCAATGAAGCAGCTATTCATTATGAATTCCTTAAAAACAGTCAAATGAAAGCAACAAACTAACCAACATGTGCAAACAAGAATCTTCCGATTATCACTGGAAACAATCATGACTAAATATGATTTCGTTTGAAGTAAATATTATGAAATATTTTTACAGGGCAGGAAGAAGCATCCAGCATGGTTGGCCCAACACTTATCATGGTCCCAGGTCAGATTCCCCACTGTCAGTGGATGAGGCTGTGGACTTAGAGGAAGTACCAGAGTGGGAGAAACATTTGCCTTCAGAACTGACCCCAAATGTCTCTGCTGCCTTGGAAGCTCTGGCCCAAGAGAAGCCTGTTTTGCAAGCACTTCTCTGTTTGAAGGAAGCTCATGGCCATCCTTGGGCTTAAGTCCAGAACCCCCAACAGAGCCAGGATGTGGCGGTGACTTCAACAGCTACTGATCCAGGGGTGAGAGGTTTCACTCACTAGAGGATCAACTAACCACCTAGAATGGAGGTGCTGCTCTCTGTAAGGTTCAGTTTGGGGTCCTTCCAATCAGTTCTGTTTATGGCTCATTTTGGATGTGCTTCCAAACAAGGCTTATGTTGCACCATTGTTTTACTCATTCATGGAATTTTACAGGGGTCCAGATAACACTCCCCTGTTTTCTCCCCATTTCTTCCACCTTTACTACTGCAGTAAATTTGTTAAGAAAAAACAGATTTGATCCTGAAACAAAACACAATCCACATGTATGATTCTCCGGCACAGCTGCATGTTGTACTCTCCTGAACGCTTTCTGCTTTGTTTGGAGTTTCCCTTACTTACCAAAAGGATACAGGACCTCTGGCCTGAGCCCCTAATTCGGCCTGCAGAGGATCCCCATCCAACCTCTGGATTCCCTCATGGGGTGGGGCTTGACCTGCCTGTGCTTCTTTCCACTCTGTCCGCCAACCCTGGCTGACTTCTCCAACTGTTACCTCTGCTGAGGCAGCCTTGGCTGCATTGCACCTTGCTTTATCAGAGAAGACACCGTTCAGGAGAAGCATCCCCAGCCTAGAAACAACAGCTAGGGTGCTCCAGCCTGGAAGGGGCAAGATTAGAATCAGCAATGCTTCACGCACACTGTGCTTTCCCCGGTGTCCTCTGATTTTTGCCTTATCTGAACCTACATTCTGCTTTGCTTGACTTTGCCTTAGCAGAACCTGACTCCACCTTGCTTCCCTTGCTTCATTCTTGTCCCTACCACCTTCTTTCGGGTAAGAATGCTATCTGGAAGAGATCACTGCTGGAACAAAAGAACACCCCAAGAGGGCCCACCTGCAGTTGAGCTAGGCTCTCCTGCCTGCTCTTTGACTCTGATATATTTAATGGAGCCGCTGATAGTCAGAAAGTTACTATTTTGTCTTTCCTACAGAGTCCTGGAGCCATCCTATGACAGGGAGATGTAATGTTGTATAACTTTTAGGAGCCAGAGCCACCTGAACTCAGTGCAACCTGCTCTGTGAAACTAACTCAATTTTATAGTTAAAGTAGCCAAGAAACTCAAAGAAAACTGCTACTTGGATGAGCAACAATGAAGGAACTAGAAAATATTAAGTGTAAGGACATTTCTCTGGAGGTGAAGGCCAAGATCTTCCTTGCTACTGTATTCTTGATCACTTACGTATGGCTGTGAAAGCTGGAAAGTGACGAAAGCTAACAAGAAGAAAATTGATGCATTTGAAGCATGGTGCTGAAGGAACGCTTTGCAAATACCTTGAGCTGACAGGAAGACAAACCAGTGGGTCCTAGATCAAATCATACCAGAACTTTCCCTAGAAGCAGAAATGACCAAAGTAAAGTTGCCATAGCTTGGATATAACATGAGAAGGAAAGACTTCCTGGAGAAGTTAATCATGCTAGGGATAGACAAAGGGAGAGGAAAATGAAGGCCTAACATGAGATGACTCTATAAAGGAAACCACAGGCTTGAGTTTACAAGAGCTGAGCACAGGTGCCAAGGTGAGGCTATTTTGGAGAAGCTATTTTTATATTCTGTCAATAAATGTTGTTGTTGTTGTTGTTGTTGTTTTTTTTTGGAGGCATTTAGATGACCCCAACTTCTAATATTATGGAATAAGTCTTCAATGGAATAAGGATTTTGTATAACATCTTAAGCTGTGTTAAACACAGGATGCACATACTTATAAAAAGCTTCGTCTTCCTTTTAAAAAGCAACTACCTAAGCCTCAATCTGGAGGAGTGGGCAAAGGGAGGATAGTTTTTTTCCCATTACAAACCACTGAAAATCACTCTCCCTGCAAGTGGCTATTTATAAATAGCCTATAAATGCTGCAAATCCTGCTTTTTGTTTTCTACATACTTGCATTCCAGGAATTACTGACAGCTGCCCTTGTATCTGTTGCCAGTTCCTCTCTAGAGACTTCAGTTGAAAATGTTGATTGTGCTGCAGCAGTAGAAGACTCATCCTCACTGAAGACTATCAAGTCCTGAGACAAAAGAAAAAAAGAAATTAGTTAGATAGAGAGTGTTGATTAGACCCAAATTATGAGAAGGATACAATGTTCAATACTTGCTTGGTATCGTTTATCCTAACGGGGCTCTTTAGAGTTTTAGGCAAAGATCTTTTTCAGTGCTCCTACCTGAGAACTTTTTCTGACAATAAGGATTCTAAAATATTGTTACATTCTGCCTTGGAAGTTTGAACAAAGAGGCATGCCGTCAAAGATATAATAGACTAGCTCTGATCACAGGTTTATTTATTTATAGTATTTATATGCTGCCTTTCAGGCAAAGCCCTCCCAAAATGACTTGGAAAACCAAAATAGTGCCATATAATAACAGAAGCATTGAGGTAACATACCATCAAGTTGTTTCCAACTCATGGCAACTGTATGATTGAAAGCCCTCCAAAATCCGTGACATCCATATTCAGACGTTCTAAATTCAAGGCTATGACTTCATTTATAGAGTTGATTCATTTCACATTTGGTCTCCTTTCCCTTCTTCTGCCTTTCCCTTTCCCTAGCATGCTTGCCTTCTCCAGGGAGTCCTAACTTCACATGATGTGTCCAAAGTATGGCAGCCTTAGTTTTGTCCTTTTTGCTTCTAGGAAAAGCTCTGCCTTCATTTCATCTAGAGCCTACTTGTTCATCTTTCTGTCAGTCCAGGGTAGTCAAAACTGTCTTCCAGCACCATGTTTCAAATGTATCTATATTCTTCCTGTCAGCTTTCTTCACTGCCCAGCTTTCACACACATACATAGTGGTCAGGAAGACACTGTAAATGATCTTGGCCTTGGCCTGCACTGAACCATCCTTACAACTGATTATCTTATCGAGTTCCTTCATTGCTTCTCTTCCAAGTCTTTGTCTTCTTCAAATTTCTTAGCTGCAGTCTCCCTTTGAATTGATGACTGTGCCAAGGTATATAAAATCTTTCACAATTTGTTTTCAATTTTATTTATTTGCTTTCACAAATAAATTTGTTTCTCATAAATACATTAGAAAAGAAGAAAGGAAATACATGGGGGAAAGGATGCCAAGGGAAGTTCCACAAATATAGCATGCAATTTCAGTATCTGAACATATTCATAAAAGGCAAAAATTTCTGTTTGCTTTAAATAATTTAATTCGTAATCGAAGATTAATCTAGTTTATAAAACTAATGGTTAATTATATCTTAGCTTTAGTACTGAAGTAAAAATCACTGACATTTGTAAGAATTCTATTTTCTTTACCATTAGTTGTGCATAATAAGATTTCCATCTTTCAACAATTGATCTTCTATTAATATAGTTGGTTAGTTTTGCCATTGTTGCATGCTCAGCTAGCTTGCTTTTCCAGTCGTTGAAAAGATTGGACAGTCTCCAGCTTTTCACTTTGAAGCAATTGTTGCTCTTGATGCTGTTATATTTCAATAACTCTAACCTAATCTTTGGAAGAGTCTCTGGTATGATACTCAATTACTTAATTTCAGCATTCATGGGAAAGTCAATTTTAAGAATTGTCTGCATTTCTGCATATATCTGCTTCCAAAATCTTTTGATTCTATCACATGTCCACCACATATGGTAAAAAGTTCCCTCTATCTTTTTACATTTCCAACATTTCCCATTGCAATTCCTCTCCATTTTCTGTATATCTTTCAGGTAATATACTACTGAAAGTACCTCTTATACCAATTTTATTTATTTATTTATTTTTGGATTTATATCCTGCCTTTTTCCTACAAAGGGCTCAAGGCAGCTTACATCATTCTCCTCCTCCATCTTATCCCCACAACAACAACCCTGTGAGGTAGGTTGGGCTGAAAGTCTGTGACTGGCCCAAAGTCACCCAGTTGGCTCCCTGGTCGAGCAGGGACTCAAACCCAGATCCTCTGAGTCCCGGTCCCACACTGTTAACCACTACACTACACTGGCTCTCAATTTTCTCTTAATGCTTGACTGGCAGTAAATTTTATATCCTTTGTCCATAGGTCTTCTCATTGACAGCATAGTATTTCTTCCTCAAAGTTCTGCACCCAACTCTTCATGCATATTTTAACTTGTTGAATCTCAATGTCACATCAGAGCAGTTGTTTGTAGTTTCATCCTAGGAGATGGTCCATCATTTCTTATTATGCCTTTTCCTGTTTGGATTTCCTTTTTTAGCTTTGAGACTAGCTGATAGTAAAGAAAACATTCTATTTTTCCCCCTCACCTTTTAATTCTTGCCAAAGCTTAATTCGTCCTTAATTTGTCACCATGTTTCCATATGTAATAAAATCATTATTTTCCTTAAATATTTTCCATAATACACTTCTATTGAAGACATTAAAGGCAAAATTGGAGGACTAATTCTTCTCATAGAGTATTAGATTTTTATTAAACCATCTTTAATTATATAAACTGTTATTTAGTGTCAAAGCCTTTTTGATAGATTTTTTTTTATAGCCCATAAATTTATTTATTTATACATGTATTTATAGGCTGCCTATAACTGCTAAGGCCTTCCTTGGCAGTTGTGTATTCCTTCAAGATTTCTGCTATTTCCAGTTTCATTACTGGTTTCAATAAACTGCATTCTTGTGATCCCTAAACTGTATTATGGCAGTGCACAATGATGAACCACTATCTACATGGACAATCAAGATCTGGAGCCTTCCTCCAATTGCCACCTCCAAGGGAGGCTCAGTTGGAGGCAACAAGGAGAAGGGCCTTTTCAGTGATGACCTTCCCCACTGAGTTCCACCTGGTGCCAGCATTAATATCTTTTTGGCACCAGGTTATAACTGTCCTTTAGTTCACTATTATATAGGGGTTTGTTAGCTGCTTAAACAGGCTTTATGATTTAATTTGTGTAATCTTGTGTAGCTTTTTAACACTTGTTTTCTTGTAATCTCTGATATTTTTACTCTATGTTTTACATTGTATTTTATGTGTTGCTGTAATCCACTCAGAGAGCTTCAACTGTTGAGTGTTATAGAAACTACCTAAATAAATAATACACTAGTGGGTACAGTGAAAAATTTGCATTCCTTATTACATACATCAAATTGTGTCATCCTCCAGCATACCAGGATCAACTAAACTAGCTTCTCCCTTCCAAAGTCTAACTGCCTGTATAGCTATACATGGAGCTAGCATGTCAAGTCACCTTTGCTAAACTGGGAAGGCATGAGCCTGCAGCCAGATATGCAACCAAATGTGGAAGCAGAGCCAAGGGTTGGACTCGAAGCGGAGCTGAGGGCCTTATAGGCATCATCTAATTCTATTCCAGGCTCACTCTAGATTTGCTCCCCTCATATGTAAAATATTTATAAACCTCTGCCAATGTCTTAGTACACTAAAGGTGCCTCCAGACAAGGCTTTTATAATGCAAGTCCTTAGCCTTATTTGCAGAAGTTTACAGGGGGTCGAGATGCTGTTATCTTTTATTCATAAGCTTCCCATGTTTTCTTACTGCTTCTCCCATCTTCTCCATTATACAGAAACCATGTTACAGAGAAAAAGACAGAACCCCCGAAGAATGCCTTCTAATTGCTTGTATTAGGAGCCCTTCCATCTGGAAGCACCATTAGGAAAAGTAGAAATGTTTCAAATCTAAATAGTGGTTTTGAAATCATATTCATTTAATTGCATTCTCCCTCCTAAACTAGGATCATTTCAAAGGTTTTCAGTTTTCTCTATCCTCTTTTATTTGTAAATGGTTCATGTTAGTATTATTAGAGCCTCTGATAAATACATAAATAGATATTTAAATGTTCTTAGACCATTCTAACCTATATTTAGTTTTGAGATTTCTGCTTGAAAACTGCACTAAAGTGCAGAGCAATTACTTCTGTTTTTTTATTAATTTCATATCCAGATACTGCACAAACTGCTAGTTAAGCTATTTCCCCCATTATTATATCTTCTGCATATACAGTGGTACCTTGGCTAATGAACTTAATCCAATCATGACTGGTCACAACCCAAATTGGTTGTGAGCCAAGTCAAACTTCCCCATAAGGTTCAATTGTAAATAAGGTTAATCCGTTCTGTAAATATTTTTTTTTAATCACATGAAAGACGGGCGCGATCACAGGCGCATGGGGGGGAGACATGCGCAGTCACAGGAGGACTGGGGGGGAGACGGGCGTGATCACACCCATCTCCCCCCACCCCGAGCATGATCGTGATCATCACCCAATGTGGAGTTCGCGACCTGAGGATTTTTTTTCCTGAAATTTCTGTTTGTGACCCAATTTGGTCATGAACTGAGGCTTTCGTGAGCCAAGGTACCATTGTAGTTTAATGTGTAGCACCCTAAAGTCAGTACACTCAGCAATTTGGCTGACAGGGTGAACTTTATGCAGTCACTGATTTAATTATTTGATTTTATATCTGACCAACCTCACAGGCTCATTCACAGAGCATCATATAAAGTATATCAACGAACACTGGAGAACTGTGAGGCTCCAAGGCCAATCACTTATAAAACAAGTGCATGAATTATGTCTGATATCCCAAGTGCTGCCCATTTACTATTTGACACATTTATATCCCACCTTTCCGTCAAGTTGATGTTCAAGTTGATGAATCAGATCCTTTGCCTCCATTTTATCCTCACAACAATTCTTATGAGATAGGGTTGGCTGAAAGTCCATGACTGGCCCCATGTCACCCAGTGAGCTTCATGGGTTAGCAGGAGCTAGAACTAAGACCTCCTAAGTCCGAATCCAGCACCCTAACCAACACATCACACTGTGCATTTGCCCTTTTCAGCCCTTCTTCCAGTGGCATCCCTCCATGGTATTGCAAAGGGTGCCCTTCTGAGACAGTATCTCATGAAGTATGAAAAATCCACACTGGAAGAAAACATCACATCTCCTTTATGCGCTACTTAAAATGCTTTCTGTTTGTGCAAAGAAGGTTATTTTTGTCCCAGATGTATTACACTGGTACGGAGAGGATGGATTCCAAAGATCCCCACATCTTTTGTTCCAATCTCTTGCCTGTAGCAGT